GGGAAACAAAAAAAAAAAAAAAAAAAACAACAACAACAACAACGAATTTTGGGTCTTTCATTAACCATCCCTCCAGGAGTGGACCCAGCGGAGTCCCGCAGGCCCCGCTCACACTCTTTAAGGCACCAGTACAGGAGCTCCTGGGCTGCAGGCCTGACACCTCAAATTCTGGGGGCACGAAACTAAAATGTGACTGCCGATTGAATTGATACGTGTCATCCTTGCGCAGGGGCCATGCTAATCTTCCTTCTCTGTATCGTTCCAATTTTAACGGATGTCCCGAAGGACCCGCCGATTGAATTTATCAATGGCGGACCCAGCATTTGACGTTTTGGCCTCGGTTTCTTGGGGCGCCAAACACTTCGGACTGCAAGGCTGAGGCCGTGTACTTGGCCCAGCTTTCGGCCGCGGAAAAAAAAAAAAAAAAAGTAGAAGCGTTTCTAGTCGGATGAATTTGGGCACTCCTGTAGTAGCCCGTACGTTTCCTGAGATCGTGGCGCGTTAACGGGCACGACTCTAGGAAGTACTTGTGGTTGAAACCCGGGCCTGCAGGTGCCTTCCTGCGCGCAAAGCTTTTCCGAACTGCCAGCGGCGCAGTTTTTTTTTCTTCTCCACTGGCGCTGCCAGGGCAAAGAAAGCCAAAGGAATTGGGAAGCTACTATGCGGTACTCCGCCAGCAGTTTTATGGCCAGGTATGAAAAACCGATTCGCGACAATTTGAAACTGTCTTGCCGTGAGGCCGGGCAATTTGTGTCTAAGGAACAAAAGTTTGTTGGGAGAAACTTCTTGGATTGCTTAAACCACCAGTACATCCAGAAAAGGAGATTGAGCCTCTCCCAAAAAAATAGGAGGCCGTGAACCGTCGATTCATTCTATACCGACGGTCTACCTCCGCTGGATTTTTTTTAGGAGAGGCTCAATCTTCTTTTTTTCGGATGTACTCGTGGTTTGAGCCACCAGGACACGGCCCCAGCCTTCCTGAAAAAGAAACATGTCACCTGTGTAGCACGGCGAACGTGTTCCCGCCCCTCCGCGTTCGGGCGAACTTGTTCGCGTGAACAGCTGGCGAACGTGCTCGGGCGAACATAATTTCAGAAAGCACATGGCCCCAGCTAACTTCAAAAGACTCGGGGCTATCTATCGCACCACAATGGCTGGCGGGGGCAGGCAAAAAAAAGAAAAGAACTGTGCCGCTGGCGGTTCGTCAAAGCTCGGGTATGTAATGGCGGCGGTTTGAATCGCTAGTACATGGCCCCAGTGTTGTGGAGAATAGTTCGTCACCTACTCCGAAAAAGCCGGAGCCGACACACGGTCGATAAAATATATCTGCGGCCGCCGTCGCATTTCGGCCTCCAACCGGGCCCCCGGCACGCAGGATCAGTGTTCGGGACGAATACTCGTTCGCTTCCTTCGCTGGTAAGGAAACATTGTCCCTTTTTTTTTTTTTTTTTTTTTTTTTTGGTGCTGCTTGATGTAGTACTCATCTTTATGTTTCAAAGGG